GTCTGCTGCGCGCGGATATATATATTTTCTTTATATATACGTATGCACAGACGGTACACGAGAAAGAAAAAAGAGTTGTGTTTTCCTGCAGACTGCATGTAAACAGAGCATGCCCGCGGTTTTTCTCTTGATTTTCTCTGCACACTCGTGTAAGTTGGTCCTTTGGACATATGTTTGGCTACCGATACAATACACACACACTCTCGATTTGATTTCCAAAATCTGAAATCCGATTACATGTCAATGTGAATTTAATCCCTTCGCTCGCGCGTGTCCGTGTCTCTCACGACTTCTTTTGATGAAAGGAAGTGTACAACATTTTTTCTTGTCTTAATGAGCCGTTTATCGGGACTTTGAGTACTTGTAAGCGTGTTGAGAGACTCACTCGGTACAATGGGCCCGACGCATCATTAGAGATGCTAATGCTCATGTGAAATCACGGCTCTTTTCTTTTCTCTCGCCGGCCTGTCACTGGGAATTTAATCCGCCTTATAAGTGAAAACGTCAATTTCTCTATCCGCCCTAACCCGCCTACATGATCTCATTGAAGAAATAACGATGTCTTTTCATCTCTTTATTATAACAAGTCTTCGATGCATGATAAAACACTCGCGCGCTCTTTTCAACGATGTGATACTTTGTTTTGTGCCTCTTGGAATTGAATAGATCTGTGCATTTTTCCTGGAATCCGAGACGTAAAAAAATTGATAGGATAAGAGATAATGTTGAAATTGTTGCTGTTGTTGTTCTTTTCACGATTGCGATTTTTCGCCGCGATAATATGACGAGAAAAGAAGGAAAGAAGGAAAAAAATATTCGCATTACAAAATCACATTAATTTTCAACATTATTGCTCACCGAAGTTTCGCGAGAATCATCGATTGAATAAAAAATTTATTCAAATCCAATTTCACTCCATGTGTGTGTGTGTGTGTGTTTCCGAGACGCGATAACTTTAACAAGCTGACAATTTCAATGACCCATACTCTCGAGACAAGGTCCCAACGCCGTATACATACACGTTTATTATAATATAGAACTGCTCTCGGGGGTCACCATTCAGGTGTCATATATTACTTCGTCCACTTTGTATGCCATTATCTCCGAGAGGCATTACGAAAAAAATGTTTCAAATCATCCTCCTATCGTATATCGTTCGTTTCCGCGCGCGCCGTCTCTAAAAGGTCGAAGTGTGGCGCGCAGATAAATTCAAAAGCTTTGCGTTGTTTCAACACAATAACTTGTATATTATATATACCTGTATATAGAGGAGAGTTACACAAGGAAATGAGATGAAGCACATTTTGAAATTCCAACTGTTTGGCGATGCTGCACGTAGCGTATAACGACGGACGCGAGCATACACACATATGAAAATATCGGCCCCGAGATGAAGGATCATTATTTTCTCTCTCTCTCTCTCTCGGTGGAGAGCACCGAGACTTTGACTTGCGTATATACGTGTATATACCTGCATACATAGTACGGCGCGTCGTGTCTTATACGCTGCGCAGTGCAGCCAGCGAGCTCGAGCCGGTATTACAAACGTCATACAGTATAATAGTTCTAAGGGCTTTCGCGAACACGGCGCACGATTCATGATGCGGTGGCTTATATTCATGTACCTGCGCCGCTGCCGCCACCGACGCCGTCGTAGCTGCTCCTTGTCGTGAGTGACCATTATAAATGACGAAGGACTTTTTTAATACATGTCACGCCTCGTGCATTCGACTTAGAGAGAAAGAGACAGAGAAAGGGAGGATGAGAATAAAGATGCACTCTGGAGCTATTGTATTGCGCGCGGCTAAGTGCATACACGCGTGGATTATGAAAGCCGAGCTCTGTAGAAATAATAATTATTGTTTGGATATGGAGTCGGGACACGAAAGCAACTGAAAACAGTGTATACCAGGTGGATGATTTATTTAATAAAAATTTTTGTAATAAATTATCGATTGCGAGGATGATTAATGTCCTCACGAAAATGAATGTCTTCCGCGAAAACTTTCCAATTACGCCTCTATTCATTCGTGAAAAACTACTACTGCTCGTGTATAATCAAATTTTTCAATCGCGACACGCTCGTACTAACTTTAGGTGTATTACTATTTTATTACTCGAATTCATTTGCGCGACTTTATGCAGCGTAAATGATTCCTCGATCGTCGCTCCTTTTTATTTACGACGATCTTAAAGCGAGAAAACAGCCCTCCTTATTAATTGCAAGCACCGTGGCAATAATTTAACGCAAATTTGCTGACCGAGCTAGATGATGATTTTCTATTCAGAACCTGTTGAATCGCATTGCTCGTCTCGTAGTCGGCGCGGCGATGCGCAAACATTTTACAGAGTATTTCTGTTATTTATTTCGCTCGTTATTTACTCTTACGCTGGTATATAAGAATTTTTTGTATGTATACCGTTTTTTTCACGTGAGAAATTCGACCAATAATTTTCGGTTAATCCACGTAACGTATTTGACATTTCCGTATCTTTGTTTTGCTATCTGGAGAGAGAAATCTCGTATCGGCTCGTTGTTGCTAATGCGTGCGTGAGTTCTTCAGAAATGTTGAAATCCACTTTGAAATTTATTAAAATCATGCTTATACACACCTATTATGTATGACTAAAAGGACGAATTTTTTCATACATAGTATCGGGGCACGCGAGCATTTACATATAATTGAAATAAAGTGTACTAATTTAAAGTTCTGTGGAACGCAAAGTATATGTATGGCCGTATAAATTACAAAATGTACAACTAGCTGAATTATCTTCTTCCACACACGCCAAAGATTTTTTCGTTCAATGGGCGCAGAAAATAAATTCAACATAAATCTAATTTTTCGGTGCTTAAATGTTTCATTAATGAACTTGTTTTGAGATACTTTATTTTATTTACCTGCCACTTTTTCTGTGTATGATACTGAAACTTCTCGCAATAAAAAAATCATTTTTACCATTAATTTAATTAATAAACAGATTATCAAGAAAATAAAATTGTATTGAATTGCGTACATCAATACATTGTGATTGGACAACAAAGAATGAATTTTCTGTTTTTTTTTCTTTTTTTTAATGAAAAGCCGGAGAATCAGCTCTGCTCCGCTTCAAGTGTAATCCTACATTAAATTATTCAACGTGCATTACAGCCTCATTAGTTGAAAAATATATGTGCATACGTGAAAAAAAACGAGGAATATTTATGTAGAGTGATAAATTTGAAGGAACGTTTGCAAAGAATGAAGAGAAGCTTGCGTATATAATCTATTAATTATATGTAAATATTCAACGGCCTCGGGGAGTAGGGAAATTCCTTGTATTGAATCTTAATTAAAATTTATCATATATATAAATTGAAAATGTAAATGCTATCGTACTGGGTAAAAGAGAAAATAAAACTGATAAAAAACGGCTATATTTTGCCTATTTTTTTTCCTTTCTTTTTTTCGCACACTGGAAAATTTCTTGTTAAAAATCGTCATAATCTCGTCGAAAATTACATACGGCGGAATTATGTACAATTACCGATGCCGTGTGATGCCGCAGAGCTCGACGTTTAACTCGATTTGTCGAAAAAAACACATTCGCGCGTGTGTATACGTACGCGTGGATATAATGCATCATTCCTGCACTTTGCGCGAAACACGATACGCGGGCGATACACGTGGATATATAGTCGGAAGAGGATCTGCCGTCAAAAGAGAAAGAGAGAGAGAGAAAACTTGTTGCAATGACTGTTGATGTACTTGTTATGTTCGAACCATCACATTAATGGGATGTGCCTTTCCACGGTCCATAAGTAACCGGATATATTTAATGATAAATAATAATACGAAATTGCGCCATATAAAATAATAAAAATATTTAATCCCGGTGATTCTTTTTGCCGCGCGTAATCCCTTCATCGTCGCGTGCGCGCGTCCACGCGTGCGCAGCGTCGGAGGATAATTATTGAAAATCCATGATAAGCCACATATACAGCGAGAAGTATAAGAAAAATAACTTGACTTTCCGCGCGCCCGTGCGCTTATATGCAAGCGAGTCGTATTTATGCGCCGTAAACCGGCGCCTCGTATACCTATACACACGCGCGCGCACACATTGTATAATCGTAAAAAAAGCAAATTTCCTTCTTTGCGAAATCCGTAAAACCAATGCTTTAATCGGCCACCCAATGATATAGCTTATCGATACTTTCCTCTTCTTATTACGGCAAAAAAAATCCTTTCGTGCGCATATACACGGCGGTGGCGGCGACGGCGCGCGCCATCAAAAGCCGCATATTATTATATATAGGCTCTTCTAGCCTCTCTCATAAGTATCGAGTACGAGAAGAGAAAATGAAAAAAAATTTAACCCTTCTCTCTCTCTCTCTCTCTCTATTCTCTCTTGCTCACTCACCCGTATAGCCCTCTATATACCTCCCCGTATATAGGTATTATATACGGAGGACTTTTATGCGTTCGCGTAATGGCTTTTATCGACGACGCGTTGCGCGTACTCACACATACACATACACACACCGGCACGCATATACGCCTTATTAACGATATAACCCTGCTCTTTTGCTCTCGAGCCGATGTGCCCGGCTACGTACTATAACAGCCGTGGCGTGTGCGGCGTACGGACGCACGCGCGGCGCGTGAGATTCGATTTTTCATGATGCAATATTTGCTGCCCCTCGCACGTGCCAAAAGGTAAATCATTATATCGATAATACGGGAAGAAAACTTTTTTTACCCAGCGGTGAAGTTTTGCGAAATGATGCTTTTCATTTGGGCGTGCTTTTCGACGCGTGTAGTGTTATATTTGAAAATTTGACGCGCGATCAGATGTTCTATGAGATTTTCGATGAAATGAAGATTGATGGTTATTCAGAGCGTGCGCAGAAATGTGCATAGTGAAGTATCTACTCATTGTTAAAATAAGCGCCAAATAGCTTGAGACACGTGTACGTTGGGTTATAAGAAAATAATATACAAGCTGTATGTTACGGGCTGTAGATACATTTCCACACTTGTATTTATATACCTATTGATAATATGCAATTCTATTTTTTCTAGACATTACAATACATTTATACATGAATTTTAGTTGCGTGAGGCAAGTTTACACATTTTCTGGTGTACTACCGCGCATTAGTGCGTTAAAACTTTGACTTGGCCTACACACGTCCATCCTGCGCCACAGTTTTTATATTTACATGATGAATTTTATGTAGTCAATTACAGACCAAAATCAATATTTACATAATAACGAACTCGTCATTTTTTAAATAATACTTAAACTTGGCAAAGTTAATTATTGTTAATACAATACAATAATTGCATCATCAAATAAAATGTTTGTTACATTAAAAACTTGAATTCTCTCTAATATTGAGTGACTGCCTAACACTGTGTGAGAGATCAAACTTTGTCTCTATATAAATGACTTTTGACAATTCGCACAATCACACAACTCAGGCTTCAAATTAAGACTTGTTGCTTTTTTGCAACCATCACTGACATAACCCTTTTGGTTTTTATAAAATTTCTTTCGAAATACATTTTGTTTTTCGAAGTATCTTTGTTCGTCGTGATCAGTTATGCTGTGGTTGGTCAAGTTGTGTTCTGTTGTACATACTTCTGGACGAACGTTACAAATATTTTCGATTTGTTCTTCGTAAACTATTTTTTAGTCTTCCTTCACAATATCCTGCTCTGAAAATACTCTCTGACTCGCGTTGCACTCATAGTCTTTTCGTCCTTCGTGAACCATTTCGCAATGATCTGTCGAATGATGATTGGCTCCAAACGCTTCTTGGCTTCCGTGGATTTTTTTTTGATGAATTGACAGAGACTTATTCGTAGTGAACCTTTTCTGGCACTCCTTGCATTCGTAGTCTTTTCGCCCTTCATGAACTATTTTTTTGTGTTGCTTCATATGGTTCCGCTGTGTAAAATTTTTTTTACACACATCACATTCGTAGTCTTTTCCTCCTTCATGAAAAGTATTGAGATGAACTGTTACGTTCTGTTTTGTAGTAAACTTTTTTTGACACACGTCACAAACGTAGTCTCTTCTCCCTTCATGAATAGTTCTCAGATGAAATTGTAAGATCTGTTTTGTAGTATACACTTTTTGGCACACGTCACACACGTAGTCTTTACGTCCTTCGTGAACAGCTTCTTTGTGTTGCTTCACGTGGCCCTGTTGTTTAAAATTTTTTTGACACACTTCACATTCGTAGTCTCTTCGTCCTTCGTGAACAGTTTTGCGATGAATTTTTAAGTCCTGATTTGATGAAAACGTTTTTTGACACACCTCGCAGACATAGTTTTTTCGTCCTTCGTGAACTATTTGTTGGTGTTTCTTCAAATAGCTTCGATCAGAAAATGCTTTTTGACACACATTGCATACATAGTCTTTTCGTCCTTCGTGAACTATTTGTTGGTGTTTCTTCAAATAGCTTCGCTCAGAAAATGATTTTTGACACACATCGCAAACGTAGTCTCTTCTCCCTTCGTGAACAGATTTGCGATGAACTCTTAATTTCGGATTGGTTGCAAACTTTTTTTGACACACATCACATTCGAAGTCTTTTCGCCCTTCATGAACAGTTTTTTTGTGTTGCTTCACGTGGCCCTGTTGTTTAAATTTTTGTTGACACACATCACATTCGTAGTCTCTTCGCCCTTCGTGAACTGTTTTTTGGTGTTTCTTCAAATAGCTCCAATTAGAAAATTCTTTTTGACAAACGTCGCATACATAGTCTTTTCGTCCTTCGTGAATTGTTTTGTAGTGTCGTTTCATATGACTCTTCCGTGCAAACGTTTTTTTACACACGTCGCATTCGTATTTGTTATATCCTTCGTGAACTGATCTTTGGTGTACCTTCAAATTGTCCACACGTGAAAACGCTCTTTGACACACTTCGCATTCGTAGTCTCTTCGTTTTTCGTGAACTGTTTTTTGGTGTTTCTTCAAATAGCTCCAATTAGAAAATTCTTTTTGACAAACGTCGCATACATAGTCTTTTCGTCCTTCGTGAATTGTTTTGTAGTGTCGTTTCATATGACTCTTCCGTGCAAACGTTTTTTTACACACGTCGCATTCGTATTTGTTATATCCTTCGTGAACTGATCTTTGGTGTTCCTTCAAATGGCCCAAACTTGCAAACGCTTTTTGGCACACATCACAACCGTAGTACTTTTGCTCTTCGTGAACAATTTTATAGTGTCTCGCTAAATTGTTCCAAGAAGGAAATATTCCTTGACACACGACACATACGTAGTCCTTTTTTCCCTTATAAACATTTTTTTCAAAATATGTTACATCTAACACTCTCGCAAAGGTCTTTTTGCACACATTGCTTGAATAATTTTTTCTTCCCTGGTGATCTAATTTTATTTGTGCATCCAAATCATCTTTTCTTTTTAATGTTTCTGGTCGCAAGTCGCAAGAAGAATGATTTTCTTTGAGCTTATCCATTATTGCTGTTCTTCAATTTCAATTAAAAAATATTTTACAACTTCCTCAACAACTGGATATTTGAAAAAATTTCGTGACTGTCCTGTTAAAAGGTTATAATATTTGAAATGAACATCTCACAACTGAATTTTCTTAACTGATTTCAAAATATCCTATTCATGTTTTCGTTTGTTAGAAGTGTCTGTGTTTGTTTATATTGGAAATCAGAATCTATTGAATTGAAAATTGTGTCGTCTGCTAACAGCTATTGTGTACATAATATTAATACCACATTATGTCTTTGCTACAGAAAAATAAATTAAACCCCATATGAATACACGAACTTGGTTATAAAATATTTTTTAACATTAGTAGGAATATCTAAGAGTGTTTGGTTGCAGCTCAATTAATATCGAGTTGTAGTTTTCTCTAGACTTTCAGTTGTAATCTCGGTTATAACGAACGCGAAGGGTGTATTTCCTTTCTCTCTTCATACTGTACGACTTCCTTTTTTTACAATCTAAGTAAATATGTTTTAACAATTTAACAATTAAATTCATTAATTTTTTTATATTTTCTTGCTCAAACTTTCAATGAACTATCGATGATTACTAATGTAATCAATCTAAATGCGTTATGCTTGCGACACCAGTTTTTGAATATTTGTAACAAAATAAAATCATGATACACTTTTCACTCGCATTCGCAGAATCGACTATTTCTATCGGATTTTTTTCCCCGCACGTCGCGTGTGGCATATTATCACGTTCGAGCCCTGGATCAATTTATTATTTTTATCCCCTTTTCTTATCAATAAACTGCACGCGCGGCATGCCGCGCAACACAGTGTATACACAGCATCTTCGTAACTCTGTGTGGCACGAGACGTGGTCTAGCATGTAAAAGTCCTCTCGCATGCGGCGGCGATGTCTCGATCTCCTCTATACTCATCGACGCGCCCACTCATATATATACACTCTCGCGCACAGCAGTGTGCATTATTATACCTATCGTCCTATCGTCGAGTATACGGTGCCTCGCCTTGTGCAATGCATGCGCGCATACACATATATATTCGATTTACGATCCTCTTCGCGTAGCACCCAACTGTATACTCACGCACGAGGGCGCGAGACTTTCACGCCTAGTGAAAAATTTAGGCAAACTCGTGCAGCGATCGACGCGTTAAATTTTATCGTCGGTTTCGCGCGATCGTTTTTGGCGTGTACATAAATATATCTAAGATCGTAACTTTTCAAGTCGTCGTACGCAGCTCGTTCGAACTGCAGTTATAGTTTCGGTCACCTCTCGCGTAGGCGTGCGCGCCCGAGCGCGACACATAAAAAATATCTCGGGACCGCCGCGGCGCGCACAGAATACCAAAGCCCTTTCGCGCACGCGCGCGCGCGAGCTTACTCGTATTTATTATTATATATTATGCATGAGTCGATACGTATACCCACACACACGATGCACTTAATGTAACAATAATGGAGAGCGACGTTTGAGCTCGAGACTTACGCTAGGTACGTTTAGTATATTAAATTTACCGCACGTATATGCGCCATACATGCATGCATATAAGCGCGTGCATTACAGCGTACGTAGAGAGGTAGTAGCAGCGACTTATATATACTTTATAATATATACGTACGATACGCAAAGAATCGATATTAGGATGGCTTATATTATGCGCGCAGCAGCTGACTGCACACACGTATGCTACGTGTGGGATACGTACACGTAATCCTCCGCATAATGTGTGTATATAGATTAGACTTTTTGTACTTTGCTTCCGGAGAGTAGAGGTAAAACGTCTATTTATATACATGATATGTGACGAAGGGCCACGTGGCTCTATCCGAGCGGGTAACTTTGTGTTTTTTTCCCTCTCTCTCAGCTGAGCTATTATAGTTCCACCGTTCCCGCGTAATTCAGTATTTTTTTTCATAAGAAAACAACGATGTTGCTCGTAGCAAATCATATACGTTCGACTTTTGATCCGTGCGAAACATAAAAAGAGCCGCGAATTCGTGTTTATCTCTATAATTACTCGCACAAATTTTGGGACAGCTCGTGTGGAAGGTACGGCAGCGGCTCTCGAATCTGCGAAGCGGATGTGCACGACGATGCGCGTCGACTGTATCTCGCAACTTTAAAGCGCCGCACGGGGGGGGGGGGGCTACTCGTGAAACTGCAAACGCGCGTGTCACGAATTGACGTGGAAATCCGCGTGTATGGAGGAATCTATCCGTGTGCGCAAGCCTGTCCAGTGGAACGCTCGAAACGAGTACTTAGACACCTGTAAGGAATAGAGACGCCGCCGAGCTGTCTCTACACGTACATACATTACGAGTTTCTAATGATTCAAGGCTCGCACGTCAATTTAAAGGCATCGATTCTTCGGTTAAACGAATCGATATCATATACAGTAATTGATGATTTTATTGCGCCGCATTCAAGCAAAATTTAATACCACATCGGTATATAACAACTTCTGTATATAAAGCAAACTCATTTACATGTTTTTCTTTCTGTTGCAGGTTAGTACAATCGAAGCAATCAATAAGCATCCTCAATCTTCGTAAGTTGATTTTTTTCTTGTGTACACTCCATTATATACCTATGTACCTGTACGCATGCTGCAGTCGCTACTCGAGCATTTCAATTCGATTTTCTCAAACGTAACTGAAAGAATAAAAAAAAACAACAACAACAGTAGCAGCATGTCGTGTACACTCGGAGCTCTTTTATACTACACACACTCGCACACTCACACACACATACTTACATACGTATACGTTTTTACTTTAGCGCAGTGATATACTTCTTTAAGCCCGTGGCCTGTGCTGCGTATTATATGGACTGGAGAAGCGGCGCATGCTGCAGCGCAGCAGCAGCGTCTCCCGAAGGATTAGACGAAGCGCGCTTCCGCCCTGAAAATTGCCAATATCCGGCTTGGTTACCGGGGCCCACTGCTTCTACTGCTGCTGCGCTCTCTGTGTATAACTCTCTCTCTCTTGAGCTGTATACGATATATATACGCAAACTTGTGTCTATATAACTATTCTTTCGGTAGTTGTATACACTCACACATATCGAATCCGAAACTAAACCTCGAGTCCACCAAGCTCTATATTGCTCTCGAGCGGCGATCGAGTAGATGCTCGCGATTTATAGAGTTTGAATTTGTTGTGTAAAAACAAAAACAAAAACTAGAGATCTGCATACACGCGGGGAAGTGGCGTGGAAGTGGCCCCCGAGTAAAAACCGCACGCAACATCCATATAGTTTAATTTGTTCTTGGCCGAGCGAGTACATAAAACCTACTCCATATATAGTTGCGTGTATTATACATTCGCAATAAGTGATCGTGCGCTGTTCTGCGCGCACTCGAGCTTTCGTATCGATCCCCGACTTCTCGCGAAAGAAAAAGAATTGGCTCGTATATTATATACATCTAGGTGCACACACGCGTTTTCCAGTTATAGCGCTCGGCGCGATTCAAAATTTATCGGCCGCCCCAGACGTGCCCGATGCGCGTCTACCCGTAATCACGCGTGCGCTAAATTTCACGATTATACGTATTAGAGAGATATATATAACAATCGTATAAAATGATATCGACTTTCGACTTATAATATTAATTCCATACGATACCGAGAATCAAGCTACGAGTGCTCTGCGTGTGCGTCGTGCTCCGATTTTTTTTGTCTTATCCCCACCATCCGCTCCACCCTTTAATTGGGACCGGTATATATCGTTGCGATTGAATTTTTTATAAACACACAATCGCGTAAAATGCGACGGAGAGAAAGAGAGAGAGAGAGAGAGAGAGCGTGCAGAATGTACCCAGCGGGCACATCGATTCGATAAGTCATTGTGACATTGCGTTAGGCTTCCTCTCTCGTTCACCGTTGTCGTCGCCGCCGCCGCAAGTCGCAGTTCATCGAGCGTTACTAATACTGATGTCATAATTGCAGCACGACCATTATGCTCCGCGCTCGCGGTAGACTGCACGCTGCTCCGCACGCGTACAATATATAACGAATATAATATATAAATAACGGTTCGACGCTGTATATCGCGCCTTCGAGTTGTACGTCGAGTAGTACGTGCAATAAAGTGTGTCTTTGTACCAATATACAAGTGGTACGTACGCCGTACTTAACTGCAAGTACGATAGAACGTAGCTATACGTATAGTGGTGCATAGGCCGGCGCGACACTGGATTCCGGAGGTCGGTAATTGATATTTATAGTCTTGTCGTCGTTGTTACTGGCAATCAACAGAATGTGTAATAACTTTTAGATCATTTCTTGCTCTCGTATACATACTCACTCCCTCTTTCTCTTTCTCTCTAGGCTTCGAAACGGTCATTGAAGCGTGTCGAAAAACTACTGCTCTCTCTTTTTCTCTCTCTCTTTCTCATTTACGAGATCAATACAACGCGTGCACTATTCTTGTATTATACATAATAATGCCGAACTGCTATTTGTTAATCATTTCTCCGTACGTATCGTTGATTTCGGATCCGTCTGAATCTCGCCACTTCTTTCTTTCTCTCCCTTTTCACCATGCCTGTCGCTTTCTTGATACTTTTCGCGAGCAATTTTCACAGATCTTCTTTATATTCGAGCCATGTACATAATACTTTTGCGGAGCTTTATAAGTGTTTCTTCCTTTTCTTCTTCTGCTGCCGCTGCCATTGCTGCTGCTGCTCTCTCGCTCATACCCTCGGCCTGGCCGCGCGCACAGCACAGCACAGATATTAAGCCCAAAGAGAGTCGACGAGCTGTGTGTGTACGTGTATATGCGTTTCATATATATACTTCATATAATAGCGAGGGCGGCCTCGTGCGCATATACACACAACGTGAAGAGCATCAAGAGAGCTCATGCCTCGGGCACTGTACTGCTAGCTGCTGCTGCTGTTGCTGCTGTTGCTGCTGCTGCTGCTGCTCGTGACGCATTGAGAATATCGCGCTACGCCGCTGGCAATAAAGGCGAAATTCCGCTCGCGCAGTATTATTCTCTGTTGACTTAGGACGTAAATATCGGTGGTGCGCGGTGTACCCCCAGTGTGACTTAATATCTCTCTTTTCCTAGTCTCTCGTTTGGCATTATCCGCGC